TTCTCACTCCGTGAAATAAACCCCCAAATCTCTCTCTCTCTCTCTCTCTAGCACGACAACACCTTGTTCTCTTTCTCACTCCGTGAAATAAACCACCAAATCTCTCTCTCTCTCTCTCTCTCTCTCTCTCTCTCTCTCTCTCTCTCTCTCTTTCTCTTTCTCACTCCGTGAAATAAACCACCAAATCTCTCTCTCTCTCTCTCTCTCTCTCTCTCTCTCTCTCTCTCTCTCTCTCTCTCTCTCTCTCTCTCTCTCTCTCTCTCTCTGAAAAATCGAACTCAGCTCCTCCTCCATTAAGCAAACTAACTCCTCGTTCTCTCTCTCACTCCGTGAAATAAACCCCCAAATCCCTCTCTCTCTCCCTGAAAAATCGTACTCAGCTCCTCCTCCATCAAGCAATCTAACTCAGCTTCTCCCTCCCTCAAGCAATCGAACCTAAATCCTCGTCCATCAAGCGTCGGAAAATCGAACCCAAACCCTCCTCCTAACTGTGACGCCCCAGGGTTCACACAAGGTTGCAGTCCAAGGTGAAACCCGAATTGTCAAACCTACCAAGCACCAAACACATGCTACGACATGTTTCACCATCACAGTCACTATCTCTTTAGTGGAATCAACAAATAGGTGAAGATACAAAATAGGCAAATAATAGAAGTAGTACAAAATCAGATATGTACAGAAGAAGTATATCAATAAATGAGCCCAACTAAAAATAAATAAAAATATATCTGAGTCTGAAATAAATCTTAACACAATGAGTCAAATAAAATCTCACTAAGGCACTCAGCCTCTACAAAATAAATACAACTCTAAAGTCTGAACAATAAACATAACTATATAGTGGAGCTTCAGGTACTAAAATTGTGTGACGATGACTATACTAGAACTCCGTTATCCAGCGGCTCTTCAAAACTCTGATCGGCCTGAAAGAGATAATTAAACAAAAAAAACAACAACAAGAGCGTCAGAGCGCTATAGCAAGATCACCTCCATCCGTCCCTAGGGAAAGGGCTGCTAGATGAAGTGGAGACTCTATCTATTAAGCATAGTCTACCTATATTATTTTTCCTGTATCTAATGGAGTTAATATTTGGACACCTACAAGACGATACGTAGTACGTCGAGCGAAATAATCAAAACAAGGAAACCCTCATGTATATACGTACCAGTCTCGTGTTGTGAGTTTCTAACTCCGCCGACTACCCCCTCCTCCGTCGACTTCCCCCCTCCTCCGTCGACTTCCCCCCTCCTCCACCGACTTCCCCTAACTCATCCGACGCCGACTACCCCAACTCCGCCGACCGCAACCGATCTCCCTCGAGCTCGTTCTCGAGATCCCCCAAACTCAGGTAACGATCAAGCCCTAAAAATTCTGTCATTTTTCAGTATGTGTATAGTTTATTTGTTGGGGGTTTTCACTTTTATGTGTTTAATTTTAATGGGTGTCTTTTAGTTTTTTTGATCGTGAGTTAGTTGGAGATTGAGATTTGGGCTAGGGTTTGTTGAATTGGATATTGTGCTTGTTTTTGGTCTGCAAAAAACCAATGATATTGAGATTTCTTTTTGATCTGGAAATTGGGTTGTCTACAATCATAGCCTGAAAAAATCGATATGATTAAGTGTTAAAATGAGATTTACTATGACATTATATATAGTAAATGCGATCAGAAAAGAACTGGGTTATAATGTCAAAAAATTAAGTCTTTTTTCCCATATTATTTTCTGTTTCATATTGCCTCCATTTTTTTATAGGTCAATTATAATTTTTAGTATGAAATGGAAAAGTTGGACACTGAAGCTAATGAAGTAAACTTGGACGATGACGATTTGATATATACTCCTCAAGTATCAGATGAGTTGAGGCCAAAAAAGGGGTAAGAATTTGACATAATAGATAATGTTGTGACATTCTACAATGCTTATGCTAAAGCAGCTGGGTTTAGTGTAAGGTCTTGGACTACTCAGACTACAATGCTTATGCTAAAGCAGCTGGGTTTAGTGTAAGGTCTTGGACTACTCAGAAAGAGCCGGGAAGTGGTGAAATAAGAAGGAAGGAGTATGTTTGTTTTAAACAAGGAAAATCTTCAAGAATCACGGATGTTGGAAAGAAAAGACGCCGAGGAAGCTTAGCTGAGGATTGTACTGCCAAAATTACAGTTTTAAAATCAAACTCTGAAAAATATATTGTTACTGTTTTTAATGAGGAGCACAGCCATCCGTTATCAACACCATCAAAGGTTCATCTTCTAAGGTCCCATCGTAACGTTTCAGCCGCAACAAAGTCTCTAACTAAACAGTTATCTATGGTGAATATGCCTCAGCATCAACAATTCAGTTTTCTTGGAATATAATCTGGAGGTATAGAAAATATTGGGTGCACTCAAAGATATTTGTATAATCATGAAAGTGATATACGTGCTGATTTGAAGGGGCATGATGGTGAAATATTTTATGAGTATTTAAAATTGGAACAAGGAAAAAATCCCTCATTTACTTTTCAAATTGAGGCCGATGAGGAACAAAAGATTATTCGTTATTTTTGGTCCGATGCAAGATCAAGGCGGGCTTACAAATTTTTCGGTGATGTTGTAATCTTTGATACTACTTATAACACTAACCGCTATGGCCTTATATTTGCACCAATAATGGGGGTTAACAATCATGGTCAAACCATTATTTTTGCTTGTGGTTTTTTAAATCATGAAAGCGTTGATGATTTTGCATGGTTATTTAATTAATTTTTGGAAAGTATGCCTGGTGGTGCCCCGAAGATGATTATTATCGATCAAGACCCAGCTATGACTAAGGCATTCCCTCTTGTTCTTCCAAATACTTTTCACAGGTATTATAGTTTGTAAATATTGTTAAAATTTTTTATATACATAGCCCATCGTTTAACACTTTATTTAATTATATTGACATGTATTGTAGTTAGCATATATTAATGAAATTTTCTGAGAAAATTAATGCAGTGAAGTATAGTATTTATAAGAGTGGGTTCTCGGCTTGCATTTGGAAATTGGAGACTTCTGAAGAATTTGATTTACAATAGGAAAGTCTGATTAAGAAAAATGGATTAGAAGGAAGCAAGTGGTTGCTAGACCAATATGAACTGCGGTCAAGATGGATTCCTGCATATGTTAATCACGTTTTCTCAACTGACATGTCAAGTAGTCAACGAGCAGAAAGTAGACATGCATTTTTTAAGAAATTCGTTTCGAAGAATAATTCATTGGTGGATTTTATGATACAGTTTGGCAGGGGACTAGTGCGCCAACGTCACGAGTAGTTGATGGCCGATCACAAAGATGTAATTGAGAAACCTAAACTTAGAATAAATCATGACTTTTTGGAGCAAATGGTTGATATTTACACGAATGAGATCTATTACAAGTTTGAGGCTGAAGTGTGTGACAGATTTAACTACAAGTTGCAGTTTGTTAGGGCAATCGACAATCAGAGTGTGTATCAAATTCAAAGAAAGAAGCTCGCAACAAGTAAAGTCCGCGAAATTGTTTACAACAAGGACTTGGATTTGGTTTCTTGTAGTTGTAAAATGTTCGAAAGCGCCGGAATTCCAAAGTTAAGTAGTACAAAGTTCTAATTTTCATATTATCTCTCATAAAAAATTTGAACTTCAAATGAGATTGGGCATTTTAATTTATATTTAATCTAGATTTGCATTGTGAAAAGATAAAAAAAAAGAAAATAAACAGAGGATAACACTAAACTGGGAGTTGCTTTCTTGTTCGGTTATGCTTTCTGGTGAAGAGTAAATTGTATTGTGAGAATGTTGATATTATCTTAGCTAACAGTGAAGCCCTTTGCTTGCAGTCTTGCAATGCATCAACATAGACAACATGGTGGGTAACAAGAGAAGAAAGGTGATTCGTAACTATCATTTCAAGAACAGTCATATACATTGTCAAACACATAACTATATGCATTGTCATATACAACATGAACAATGAAGTGGATTTTTTTAAAAATCAAATAAGCATAAATTGTTCTTTCCATTTTGCAGATTCCTCATGTATAAAAGCATGGAAAATAATTTTATATTTTTAATCTGGATCCTGAAAACTTATTTGAGTGCAAGATGTAAGCAAAAAAAGAAAAAAGAAAAATCAAGGTCTGTTGTCACTCACTGAATCCATGAAAATTGCAAAAAAAAAATACTACAAAAACCACATGCAATTCTACAAAGGGGGTGACTTCTGCAAAAGCTTCAGTGTATATATATCAGAAAATTAGAAAAGCTCGTGAGGAAGAACGCACCTTCGTTGATGATTCTAGTTTTTTGGGGCCTGACGGAGATCGAGAGCTCGATTGGGTTAGTCGCGGGGTTCGGCAACAGTGTCGTGGCGGTCGTGGTTGTTCGGTCTAAGACGCGACGGTCGTGGTTGGTTGAGAGAGGGGGGAGAAATTAGGGTTTCGACGGTTTTTTTGGGAGAGGGAGGGAGGATGCAGCACGGGTTCGGCGGCGGCGGCGGCAGTCGTGGTTGGTCGAGAGAGGAGGAGAGATTAGGG